TCTCTCCATGTGTACAATGAACCAAATTCAGGTACTCAGCAAGAGAAACAAGTGCTCCTGCCAGGCCACCTCTTCAGCCCCACAGGGTTCCAGTAAGCAGCTCTGCTCTTCCAGGCAGTTACAAAGCCTCGCATGTTCTGAATATACCATTACTCTCACCAACTGTGTCCTCCAGAGAGTTTTGTTAACTCCTCAAAGACTTAGCTCCCTCAAGTAGAAAGTTCACTGTCATTGGGGTTTAAAATAAAATGTATATGAAACCAGTGAGAAATCTCTGCATATAAATGATATTCCAGGAATGATATCATCATGTGTAAGTACGTATTGCCCAACAGTAATCTATAAAGTCAGCCTAAGGTCTGCTCTAGAGATGGACTGTGTGATTTCTGTTGTGAAGCAGCAGCAGTATACTGGAGACCATTAGTGTTTTGGAAGAGCTGATTTCTCATTTTCTCTGCTTCAGGTCTTGAAAGTCCCCTCAGGATATTCGCTAACTGGTGCTGTTTTATAGCCTTTCTGCTCTCCAGGTTTGTTCTTCCTCTTCACACGCCCCTTACAAAATGAGCTTCCTGCTGTTGGCAGGCTCTGCCCCACACTTTAGTGCTTCATAACATCATGTGGGCTTTTCCCACTCCAGCTGGCTTTTTCATGGTGGGAAAGAAGCTGGAGGGAAGAAGGAAGAAGATAAGGCAAAGAACCCTCAAAGGAATCTGTCAAGGTCTCACTCTCTGGACTGTGGCTATAGCTTAGTTGACAAGGGTGAAGGGCTTGCTGTGAAAGCATGAGGACCAGCATCGGATTCCCAGAATCTACAAAAAAATCTGTGCACGGTAGCAGGTACTTGTATTTCCAGAGCCGAAGAGCTAGTAGACCTAAGGATTCTTGTGGCTCAATGGTTATCCACCCTCATCTAATTGAAGAGTTCTAGGCCAATGAGAGGTCATACATCATAAAACTGGTAGATAGCACCAGAGAAAGAACACACGAGGTTGACCTCTGGTCTCCACACTCATGTGTACACATACATGCCCACACATAAAGCTGTATCCAGATGTAAAAATGTATACACACCCAAACACATGCACACATGTGCTCACACATGTACACAGAATTTGTGAATGTACATGTATACATTCACACACCTATAATACATGCATGCACACACATATCCATGTACCCAATTCTGTGCATGCACATATACATATATCCATATACTTGCACAGAGCTGCACACATGTATAACTACATGCATATAGACATACCTCACATACTTGCTGACATGCACACATACAAACACAAACAGGACTCCATGACAATTATTAGCACATATTTGCAGAATCCACACTGAGGACTGAAAATAGCTGGAAAAGACTATGGAGGAGACTGGAAGTGAAGATTATAAGTAATATGGCTCATGGGTACATGAAAGGGAAGAAGAGATTCTTCTGGATGGTAACCGGAGACAGCTCTTATAGCTGGACTTTTGCTCCAGGCCTCTTGGCTCCCTAGTAATGACATGGAAACTTATTATTAATTAAATAAAAGCTCAGCTTTAGTTTAGGCTTGTTCTTAACCAGTTCTTATAACTTTAACCCATATTTTTAAACATACATTCTTTTGCATGGCTTGTTTACCTTTACTCTGTATGGCACATGTTGCTTCATCCAAGTATGCTGGTATCTCCACCCTTCTTCCCAGCATCCTCTGTGCCGTGGAATGGCTAGACCATTAGGCGTGGAGTCCATATCCACATAGGCGCCAAACGTGAAAAGGACACTTAAAAGAAATCCCACACTGGCTCAAAATTGAGAAATAGATGGTTATTTATTTAGGGGTAAACTCATAAATCAAAATTCTCTGCTTAAACAAAAAACAGAGACCAAATCCAACACACTAAAAGAGCGGCCAGGGAAGAAGGGGTGGACATAGGCTCTGCATCAGCATATATAGAAAAAGAGGCCATGCCCCAGTAGGTGGGTAACTATAAGTTGTAAGACTTCCTACAACAGTCTATCTACAATACGTCTCTGTTTCACCTTGAAAAACATAACCTAACATGACTAAAAGTTTGATTGTTATAGGTAAGTAACTACTAACCTATATTTCTCTATTATCCTAGATAGTTTCTAATAATAAATTTTAAGGACTAGAAATTTATATTATATTGTTAAATGAACTGCATAGTTACAATGTCTTAAATAAGAGTAGAAATGTATGTACAGTATGTTCTATCAAAAATAAATTTAAATGTATATCAATATACAAAAATACTTAAATAAGAGTAGAAACAATCTAACAAAAATAAGCGTAATTTTGTGTTACTATTCAAGTATTCATACCATTGTAAACTATTTGAGACTAGTGGTTGTTTAAAAGTAGACTCAACCATCTATCCTTCTATCCCATCATTTTCATACTATATTCGCCCCCCCCTTTTTTTTTTTTTTTTTACTCCAGAAAGAGATCTTTAAATCTACATTTCTTTGTTTAGTTTTTTTCCTGACCATCTGCAATTCCTATTTGGTCAAGTAATATTTTAACCTTCTTGGGTCTCTGGTGGGGATTGAAGATATACAGTTAAGGTTTTACAGTTTTCCTCATTAGTAATTTCAGAAAAGAAACTTACATAAGAGATGCAAATTTCAAAAGATTGAGAAGCATAAAAGCTTAGTTGTTTATCTAAAAAGATATTTTAAGGTTTAAAAAGATATTTTTAGGATGGTAATACAAGTTATAACAAGACATAATTTAGGTATAAAACTTTGGACTAAGGATAGATAATGGGGTATTTTCTCTAAATTTAACTGGACATTGTAAATGTAATTCTTACCTGATAATTGTCCTTATTGTGTATAGTTTTCACTGTGTTAGAGTTAAAATCTTTCCTTTTTTGTTTTGACAAAAAAAGGAGGTAATGCTGTGGAATAATTTTTTGCACAGTGTGAAGATGTGCCACTCTAACTGGTTTAATAAAAAGCTAAATGGCCAGTAGCTAGGCAGGGTTTGGGGAACAGAGAGAATGCTGGGGAAAACATGGAGATGCCAGGAGATGCAGAGCAAGCAGGATGGGCACCATGGAGATGAGGTAATAAAGCCACAAGGCAAGGAAGAAAGTAAATTAATAGAAATGTTTAATAGAAATGGGTTAGGTTATAAGAAGTGGTTAGAAATAAGTCTAAGCTATCAGTCAAACTTTCAAGATTAATAAGTGTCCATGTTGTTTTTTGTAAGCTGGTAACCCAAAGAAAAATTTGTCTACAAGTATTACCAACCACGAGGAAGTTGTGAATTTGAAATTTTCAAATCTATGTTTGATTCTTTGCCTTGTTGTTTGGTATAATCTTGGGCAAAGATCTTACAAACTGTGAGACTTGGTTAATCCATGCAGATGTGTGGTTAGTCAGCACACTTTTCTAAGAAGATATTTAATGAAACTGAGTTTAATTGGGCTTTATAGGTGAGAATTTAGTGGAAATATTTTGCATTAACACCTTAATTAGGTTATAAAAGGCTGCCCACTTAGTTATGTTCATAAATAAATCATAATTCTAATATAAGACAGACATCAAATCTGACACATGATTTACATGAAGAATCAGTTAAGCATCTGCTATAGTCTTACAAGATTTCATCCCAGTGTTTTGTCCTTTCCCCCTTACACTTTTATACATTTATACTAGGGATGTTTGAGTGACTTCAAAGACATTTGCTTTACTGAAGAAAACAATCAAGCCCTGTATAGCAGATGTATAAATTTTCTTCTTCTTAAAATTATCCTTTATTCTCACAGACCAGAAAATTTGTTTAAAATTTCAATGGGCCTAAATTATATAAAAATTGGAAAGTACAAGGTATAAGAAGTAATACAAAGAG